GAGAAACTGCTGTTTCAATCTAGCCTCAGCCTACTCGTGTTTCAGAGATTAGCCAAACCGTGCTTTTTCTTCAGCTGCTCCCAAACCACTTCTGCTATCTTGAGAGATTCCATCTCCTCTTTTTGGTGTCTTTAACCTTCCTCAAGTCTTTCTGTGCTCCAGGCATCTAGCATCTGCATGTCTGTGGATGGCCACCGAAGCACACAGAGCAGCCACTGTGGCAGTGTTTGTCAGAGTTCCCTTCTCGCTGTACTTCAGGGACCACTCAAAGTTGGTTTCACTGGCTTGCCATATTTCTTCCCATTCCTCTACCACTCCTCGCAGGATTTCATACTGTGCTGCCAACCATCACCCTTCCTAGATGTTCCATCCACTTTCCCGTTCCTCGTTTTTCTTCTGCAGTAGGTAGCAGCCATAGATGCTCTCCCTGTACCTTCATTCGCCGTGCACCTCTCCCTCAGCACCCACCTGCTTTGGTTCGCCATGCAGCTCAGCCCACGGAGGCACTCTTGTGATTAAGAGAAGATGAAAGTGAGAGCCCAGTGTGTCTGAACAGGAGACACTTAAACTGCTCCTTTGTCCAGTGGAAGCACTGCACAAATCCTTTCACTTCATAAGGATAGCAGTGCAGTAAATCAGGTGGTTTTATTTGAAGATAACCCTTCCTCACTCACTTAGCCATGCTACGCTTACCTCAAGACAAAGGGCTAGGCCATACAATCATTCCTAAACTCAACGGAGGGAAAGTTTAGTTTTATTTTGCAACAGCATGGCTTAGAGCATGGCGCAAGCCAGGGAGAGCCACAACAACCTGCTGTTCTGGCTCCAGAGACAGATCGAAGAGATGCGATAATCATTGACGGCACTAAACTACCAGGCAATAGGAATTATGAATGAATAAGACAAATGAAATCATATACTCATGCAATTTTAAAGAGTACTGCATTATTTAACTTCACTCAGCTACAACAACGGCGGGCCACCTTGGATAAATCAGGCCACTTTCCACACTGCAAATGCCTATGTTTGGAGTTATGACTCAAATGATTGATATTTGTAGCTATGTTTTTGTGCCTTTAATGTGGGTTATCTAGAAGTCTTTGAAAAACTGGTTTGCAACTGTATTGCCTTCCTATCTCCTGGGGATTTATTAGAACTAGAGCAGCACTTTGATACAGCAGCAATCAGGACCATGCAGCTACTCAGAGAAAACAGATCTCATTCTGAAACTGTAGCTCGGGAGGAGCTATTTATTTTAGGATGAAAGGGAGAATGAGAGCCGTAACGTGAATCTATGCATCACCTATACCACCTGCATTTTCTTCCTCCAAAAAGAAGCTATACATCACCACCTATGGACATTTTATGAGGCCAGTTTTCTCTTTCCTGAAGTGCTTTTGTAATTCTCTTGTTTCAACAGACAACTTCTCTGCCAAGCACCCTGGACGAACACATTAAAAAAATAAACAAACAAACAACAAACATGATTAAAGAGTTGCACAAGCCAGAAACACTGCAGCAACACTTCTCCTCCTCCGTCCCCATCCCTCGCTCATCACCAGTGGGCAGAGCCCAATGTGGGTGTGCAGCCTCCGTCCCCACACCACGTCGCTGCCGCTGACACTTGCCTGCTGCTGCCAGAGCAAGGCCGCGTGCTGGAAGGGGCCAGCACCCGAGACCCCGTGCTGAGTCCTCAGACACAGCCCCCAGACAAGGGTTTCCAAGCTTCATCAGTCATTAAGTCATACAAGGCTGAAGAGTTTTTTCCAGGAATCACGTGAAAGATGCCTATATTTATGAAATACTGTTCTTGAAACAAACAAACAACACATTTTCATGCATTTGCAGTGGTAGGATTAGAGATGCAAGGTAAAATAAAAAACAAGTTGCCTGGGAAGCTATTTATTCATCTCCTGTGCATGATGCTAGACTAACCTCTGGTCCTGTAAGTCACAGGAACTATTCTGAGACGTAACATAATCTTTATGCCAATGTAAAACTGTCCTGAACTAGGGCTCAACTTTGCACCAGTTTAGAAACCGAGCACTGGTTTTCATTAACCAGAGTTGGACAGCTTCTGACCAGAAAAATATTTTGGAAAAACACCAGGATTAGAGCTCAAAGAATTGTATGGTTTTATTTCCTCTTAGAGATAACGCAGTTTTTCAGAAAGAGTATTAAGAGTGTGGATGCCTCTATCTGTATTTTTTGTCATTCCAAGCCTTCAGAAAAAAAATTCTGGAGTAGGGTTTTGTTAGGGAAAGGGAACCAAGTGAGAAATGTTATCTGGAATGCTGTTTTCATCTGTTACAGTGCTTAAAGGTAGAAACCTTCTGAGCAGTTCCATGACATACACTTAGAGACTTAATTTAAACTATGTAGTAAGACTGAACATAAATAAAAATTGAATACTTCTGTATGTGATAATTAAATGTTTCCCTAATACACACAAATAAACTACCTATTTTATTAGAGATCTTCTGAGTAGATTATTTTAAATCTACTCTCTTGAAATTCTCTATCCGACTGGCAAACTGTTTTCCCAGTACTTCCTATGCTGCAAGCTCCCAGGTAACACAGAAGAATGGCTGTGGCATTTTCAGTAAGAAAAGCCTCAAAAGGCACAAGCTCCTTCAGAGCCCTCCTTGCTGCAGCACGGAGGACTTGGCGGGCCCAGCTGAGCCCCAGCAGTCTTGCTGGTGGGACTGAATTGTGCCAGCAAAATCCAGAATTCCTCCCCTGGGAGGAAACATCTGACAGGTTGAGGCTGTGCTACAGAAGCTGTGCAGATCCCAGCACAGAGCTGAACTGCAGCCTGAGCAGGATGACTTCGTAACATTTGCAAAAGAATCGCACCAGTTCAGACCGGGCAATGGTCTGCCACCAGAGGCTTCAATCAACCTGTTTTTCAGGTTGATTGAATTATAAATGCACGTGGTGCAAACCTCCTCGACTTGCTGCTTTGTTATAGTTAGTTAACTGATTTGTTACGAAGACTTTGTCCATAACCACAGCCTTCTTTCTGTTCTTGGGCCATTTGCCCTAGTTTCTGGGACTGCATTTATTACAGCGTTGTTTGAATTTTATTTTGCCATGTCCTAAAAGGTGGAAACTCAACGTATGCATTGTGCAAGTCCATTTAGACCTTGGAGTTGTGCAAAAAAACCCCACCCCAAACTAACCAACCAAAAAACACCCAGATTTTTTTCTTTTTTAATTTTTCTATTGCCCGCAAACCCATTTGGTATTTGAATTGTCCTTTTACTGTAAAAGGGCAAGTGCCTGTCCCCCACTAGGGGCTTGTTTTCCCCAATCCCATCTTAAGCAGTCATTGTGAAATTAATTGAGATGTCATTAATGTAAAACTACAGCTCCTTTCAGGTCATGTGTCTTCCACTCCTTCCTTCTGGCTACCTTTGTGGTTTGATATTTGCATATATTAAAAATGCATTTTCTCTCTTTTCTTGCTACCCAAGACTTGCACAGAATCAGGCAAGCTTTTAGTCCTCATCAGAAATTCAAATTTCCATCCTGCTTTCAATTTATGGAGACCGCATTTTCCAATGAGTAAACACACTGATGGAAAATTCCCAGTCAGTTCCCATAACCACACACGCAGCGGTGACTGATTTACCAGGTCATGCCCGTAAAGGGAGGGACCATTCCCTTCTTCCCTATTCCTTCAAGAACAGCAAGCTTTAATGTTATTTATAAAAGGTCCAGAAAATAAAAATGCTGGCAGAAAGATGAGAATAAATGACATTCTTTTAAAAAATATGACCCCAAAGTCTGCAAATGTTTATGGGCTGGAAAAGGAGGTGTCAAGAGGAATGCTTCCTTCACCCATTTGCTCTCTGCACCTCTCTTTAGATATCTCTAGCAGATCTTTTATTCATGCTCCCAGCTACGGGGCGCAGGTCGTGTCTGTCTGTGTCAATCATGTGGAGTCACACTGTCTGATGCAAAACAAGGCAATGCAACCGACTCTGCAGCTAAAACGTGGCATCAGGTAAAATGAGACTAAATCTCACTGCAGTTTTCTGAGAAGCAGAGGGGCAAACACTGGGGCCAGGACATGTCTTTTTGCCTACTCCTGGAGGGCAGCCCATGGGAGTCGGTCAGCCCAGGCACCGCCGAAATACAGCTGGCACTGAGCTTTGTGCATCGGGCACAATTCAGTGAGATATGATAAACATCTGATATATGAAAATGATGTAATGAGTTGAAAAGCAGGACAGACAGTTCGGTCCAGGTTAGATGTGCAGCAAAGATGTTGAGACTCAGTCACTTTTTCTCGGGGTCAGCATTCCAGCGTGAACGGACAGATAACAGGAGCTGAGCATTGGTTTGCTCCAGCTTTCAGACACCTGCACAGCTCCCAGCACACCTGGCACAGAGAAGGCCAATTCTTGGCCATGAAAATTCATCCATAGATCTCCGTGGGCTCTTCCTAGGACACTAAGGCAATACTTCCCTCAAAACCTCATTCCAGCTCTCTCTTTCCCTGAAGCAAGACAAGACAGGTCACTCTTTTCTCAACTCTCTAACCAGCAATCACCCTTTCCCTAACATGCACTGTCTGGAGACAACTTCAAGCAGATGGGTTTAAAGGAAATATGGTGCTTAAGTAGACATTTTTAATGGGTCAGACCTATGTGGAAGCAAACTGATAAAAGTCACCTCAAAGATTATTCACTGTACCACAGACAAGCAGGCCCCAGTTCTGATTCTTGTGCCCAATAAAGTAAAAAACCTTTAAACCTGAATTTGTCCCTGGATGATGTTCGGATGCAAGAGCTTACCATTAAGAAAGGAATAAGTGCCTTGTTTTCTCTTGAAGAGAACAAGTTTCAGTGAGTGACAGTTTCTAATAAATGCCACTTGATTTTTCCTCGAGTATTTCTTGGAACGTCCTTGCTTTGATTCTAAGAAAAAAAAATTGCTAATGTTTGGCTGGTCATAAAATTGATTTGACCTTGTACAAATGATCTGACATCACTGCATGCTGCTGAGCCTTTTGAAGTGCATTAGGTTATTCATACAATAGGGCTTTTTTCTGCTTATTCTGTATGGCCTCTTTGTACAACTGACAAACATTTCCAAAGCTCTCATAAAAATAACTTCAAATAGCTAGTAAAAAACCCTAAAGATTCTGAATTCCAATGGAGCACATAACAACAAATTTCAGTGGGTGGGAAGGATTAGCTGTCTCTTGACCGGCTCTATTTCTAGTACGTCTTGCAAAAGATGGCCTTCCTAATCCCTGGCATGGGTGGCTGCTACAGAGCTTGTTATATTCAGTTTTTTAATTGGAGTAATTGAAAGTGGCTGTATCATCTGCACCCGTTATGCCTTCAGAGGAAAGTCGTGATGTAATTCAGGAGTGAGCTGTATGAGTACCCTTAGCTCATACCCTGTTAATTTGGCAGGCATGTACGGGCTGATGAAGAAGCCGTCAATCTTGATATGGGAAGAAGAGGAGCCAGACACATGCAGGTCACCCGGGAGAAAAACCTCTTACACATGGAAAAGGGTTTTCAAGAGCCCAGGTAGGAAGCACTTGTAGAAGCTGAGTACAATTGGGTACACTGCATTTCTGCAGCAATGTCTAGGTGAGGGGGGACATGTCTTTAAAATGATTTACCAAATAAATGTGTGTTTTTTTGTTTGTTTGTTTGTTTTCCCCAGTAAAAGCAGTTTTAAAAACATGTTAAGTGTCCCTGAGTGTTCAATATCTTTGAAAGCAAAGTCCTTTTTCTATGTCCCAAGCCTCACAGGGGTTGGTGATTGACAGCTTAAAACCTGAATCCAACCAGAAGTGTTAGCTAGTATTCTGGAAAACTCTTGCTCTCCAGCCTGGGCTTGTAATAAAATGACCTGGGAAGCAAAGAGCCGATACGTGCAGAATCAGCTCTGCAAAGCCCTCCCTGTCCTGGGAACCACCTGAGCTCCCTCCTCTGGCGATGGAAAAGATGGAAACACACAGTTCCTTTTGATGAAACACAACTGCAGCACTGGGATTTATCAGATGGTGAGCTTTTCACGCAGAAGATACTTCTGCCTTAGCGCTCACTGAGAGAGGTGTGTTACCAGGGCAAGCTGTTCGTTGGAAGGAGGATTTCCCAATTTGAAATAACCAGCTAATTAAAGTGTGACTTTAATTACAAATGAATGTGTCATGTAAATACGCAGATTAGTCGCATTATAAATTTGTTTGTATTATAAATGACATTTCCTTGCATGCTAAATCTCCTTGGCAGGACTTGTCACTGTTCTGAAGTGTTCTGCAGGCTTGTAAGAGCCTTGATTCTTAAGGCAGACTCTGGCCTCGAGGGGATGTTTCCAGCCACAGCATCCCAGTGCTCTTTCCTTCCTTAGAAAAGAGAGTGATGACAAAAAGCTGGAAGAGCAGGCAGACAAGCCCTCCTTCATGAAACAGGAAAGCAAGAGGGCATCTTCTCCTTTTCCAGGTGATATGCGGTATGTCACAAAAATAGATGGGGCATAGAACCAAGAAAACTGCCACCTAGCTCCCCAAATGCTCTATCTTTACTGTGGACATTGCCCTGCTCCTGACCCCCAGCCATTTGTTTTGTTTGCTTTGGTAATCCAAAGCCCATCTGGGCTGAAGGTGCTTTCCAGTTGTTGCTTTTTGAACAGTTTATTGTTTCCTTTTGCTGCTGGGCTAGTGGTTTACACAGCATCCCTTTTCTGTTTGCAGCCCTCTGTGTCGCTGTCCTCTTCTGCCCACTGAACTGTGCCCTGACTTCCCTGAAGAAGAGAGCTCTGCAGCTCCTTGTGCCCCTGAAGCCCAAAAACTGAGAGGTGAGGCAGTGTGCTCACAGCTCACTTACATACACCTGACAGCCCGCCAGCACCTCCCGCAAGGCCAGCTCTTAGTGCTGCTGGGACACAAAGGGCTGGGGGGCCAGGAGCACAGCGCAGAGCAGCTCCTGCACCTCCAGCACTGACACCTGGAGGATGCTTCCTTTTCTTTCCTTTCCACGCTCATCTGGCCCTGAGGAGTCCAGCCTGGGGCACAGCCGCATGCAGCCAGCCACCTGGGGAGCTGAACCAAGCCAAATTATCAGAGGCAAAGTGTTAGGTGCCCTCTGGCATCTTGCTGGGATTTAAGATGTATGGTAGTTGCTTTTGAAGTGCAAAGCCAGCTGGTGCATTGCTGGATCATTCTGCCCCCATTCCTGTCTTCTCTCTGCTGCTCTGATGGCTCGAGCCACAGGTACTCCGGCACACACGTAGGAGAACAACTGGAATAGTGCACTCTTACACATCCCTGCTTTAGACAAAGCACCCAGAGCCAGCTGTGATTCACCCTAGTTATTAATCCAGGCTTTAGGACAGAGGAAGGGGGAAAAAAAAAGCAAGCTATTGCGTGAGAAGGATCCCCAGGTTGGTTGGTCTGATCTTTTCCTGCAAAAGGGGGAAGAGCCCCTGGATCTCCATCTGAACCTCTCCCATCAAGTGCCTAGTTCTCTGTAGCACCTTTCCTTTGATCTCTCTGAGTCTGGATCAAGCTACGTAGCTTGCTGTAGATGCTGTGTTGAACGTTACACGGAACTGAAGTCCATTCCCCGCGCTGCAAGATGCTCGGCAGAGGCAGCTGTAGGGACAGCGATACAGTGCAGGTGTGGTGAGGGAGGGCAGGCAGTGGCCTAGCCTGAGTGAAGCCAGATGAAATGACTGAATGGCACCGAACAGCTACAGCTCTCCCAGCATCTTTCAGCAGGGAAGGAGACCCAGGGGACAGCACGGGTTGATTTTGTAACAGCACCCTGAGAAGACGCCACAGGAAGGAGCACGGCTGGGATCACAGGCGGCAAACTCCTGGCAGGGGAGAATATAAGGAGGGACTTCAATCCCAGGACAATGAAAAACTCTGCAGATGCAGACAGAAAGCAACTCCTGAACTGTGAGACAGCTCTCTAGCTCACCTGCAAGCCTAATCTGTAAGGAAGAGGACACTGAAGTTCTGGGGTGTACAGTACAACGCTGTACTGGACACACTGGGATACATGCAGAGAAAGAAAAAACATACGAAGTGAAAGGGAATAAAGGAAAAACTCTGCTGAGAAGAAAAATGCTAGGGCTTGGTTTTCATTATCTGAAGCCCCAACTCAGAACTGTCCACCTGATGGTAAGAGGTGCCACCCACCCAGGAGCTGTGTCTAGGGAGAAAAAAGAAAACTTTTACAACTGCTGCCATAAGACACTATATGAGCTTGGTATCCAGCCAGACTGAAAACAAATATTCTCATTCCATAACATCCAAGCACTGGGAGAGAACATGCCAAAGCAGAGAATTCCTGAATGAAAACCTTGCGGTTTTAGTGTTTATGCATTTGGCAAGTGGCCCATTATATGAATAATGCCAATGCCATATATTCTGCAGAATATGCCAGGAAAGGTTTCCTTTGGCCAGAACCCAGCGTTGAGCCACAGCTCTCAGGTCCCTCACTGCGTCATCCCATCCTGCACACACAACCCTGTGCAATCGCAGCTGATAGCCATCATTTTCTCCCCCAGTCTACTGAGGGGTACTTGTGTGGGCTGCTCCATGGTACTGCTTTCCTCCCAAAGTGACCTTCACTCAAAGGCCAACACCTACCTGTGTGCACAGCAGCATTCACAGTCTGCCCTTGGAGGTGCTACATGAACAAAGCTCCCAAAGATTTCACTGGAGGTTTTGCTTGCCCAAGGACCTGAGGATGGCCTACCCAGTCCATTAGGATACCGAGAACTACTGCATGCAATCATAAAACTGACTGAGGAAATACCACCATGAGATAAATTACATCATAGCTGCATTCAGAAGTGTGTTTAACACAAATTAGCTGTATTGAACTAACACTGAAGTTACAGACTAAGATTCCTGAAGCTGACTAAGGGATCTGAACACCTCAATGCTTTTAATTTGAGTGGGAACCAGGGATTTGAATTCCTTAAACAGACCTGAGTATTTCATCATCAATGTATAACAAAAAAGTAACTTGATCTTAAAGCCTAAAAACCTAAAGCCTAACCAAAACATTTTAGCAACACCTTTTGGGAAAACCTCCCCCCATCCCATCCCTAAATTACTGCTGTTAAAAGTAAAGGTTTTCAGAAACCCCTGCAAGTGTTCCAAGTTTTCAAGTCCTCCAAGAACATTTTCAGAAAAACAAACAAACAAACAAAAAAAAAACCTGCAGCAAACATTCCTCAATAGATCACTTTCACCATTTCAAAATAAATAAATAAAAAAAAAGTAATTAAAATCTAGTCAAAGAGAACAATCCTTTCCTTTAGCACCAAGCCCTCTGTCCTACAACTCAGGATGGAAATAACTGATTACCCAAGACCTGCCTTTTCTCACCGACCTCCATTGCAAAGTTTCCATAAGTTTTAACCTTTTTAAGAAAGCACAGAATTGGACTTTAATTTCCTGACAGAACCAAAATGTTAGCGATGATAGAGAATCAGAGGGACCCTGCTTACATGAATGCATTCTTTCATCATTCAAAAATATATTAATAAAGAATCTGATTGATGCTCTTCCTTCCTGGATGTCTGTATGCCTGTCAAAAAACACTAAGACAAGGATCCCCCTGGGGTAAATACATCTCATCATTGCCATTCTCTTACTTGCAATACCTTTTTTTTTTTTTTTTTTTTTTTTTTCCCAAGCACTTTTCTGGAGATTGCCCTCTCCAGAGCAGAGGTTAGCCACATAAATAGCTGCACCGAAGCCAGAGCCCAACGTGCAGGTACTACATGCCTCCACAGCCAATGCCTGGGAGGACTTCCAGACAGCCAAGGTCACTGAGATGAGAATGTTTCATCCCCTGCATGTGTTTACTGTATTCTAGAAAAAACATTCAGGGGAGGAGAAAGAGGGAGGAGAGGGGAAGAAAGCAATATAATAATGGTAAGCATAATGTGATCTGCTCATCTTTATTAATAGTTTAATCAATATAAACATTTACTGAACCCTCTTATGCACTTGCCACGATCAAGGTGCTTTATGTTTAGCTTAGCACTTGTAAGCCCTGGTTAGTGTTGTCTGCATCTCTGCTGCCCACTGCCTTCTGCCACAAAACAGCAAGGGCTGAAGCCTGGGGCCAGGACCTGGATTTCCCAGTGCCTGAAAACCCCACCATGCTCCAGTGCGTGCTGCTGGTGCTGGATTCCCCGCACACACAAGGTGGAGGTGGCAGGTCTCAGGGCATGCGGGGTGTGCCCTGTGTGCACAAGTGAATCACAGAGGTGCTGTGCTCCGAGGCACCACTTGCACCACGCACGGGGCACTTCTCACCTGTGCTGGAGGTGGCCCAACACTCCTCAGGCTTTGCAGATGACACACAGTTGGATCCTGCACTTCTCACAGCCTTTCCTTAGCGCAATCGCTTCGCAGCAGCACCTGCTTTGAGAGCTCATTAAGTAGATGCTGAAGGATACGCGAAATATATAAAGCAGCCAGATGCAGAGAGCTGGACAGGGTGCTGGTGGCAGGGTGGGACAGCACCAGTCCCACAGAGCTGCCCAGACCAAGGCTGGTGGTGCCACAGCTGCTTTGCTGGGTTTTGTCCCAGAGCAGTTGTATTTGCGATTTCATAGCAGGTCATTTATGCTGTGTTGTTGTTATCGTATCACAGAACACAGCACATGCCCTATGGAGCCACAGGCCTCTCTTACAATCCTTATTGTTCAGCTTGGTTTTAGGCAGAGAGCAAGATTGCCTTAAGTTTTGCTTTCATCTCTCTGAATAGATAGTGCTAAAAGCGCATAAAAACATCCTGTTGGGTTATCAGCTATAGGGCTAATTTAAAAGACTTAAAACTGGCTTTGAAATAAGCTGAGAGCATCTTCAAATCAATGACTGCAAGGGGAAAACAACAACAAAACCCAGCAAGGAGCCCCCAGTTCTGCCCCAGTGGGTGCCCCAGGCAGCGTCTGTGCAAGGACCGGATCCCATGTTCCAGCACACGGGAATGCTGAGTTGTGTAGTCATGGGATTAGGTGGCTGTAACGTGTCTGATTTATTTTGGCATTTCCTAGGGGAAAAAAACAGCAAAACCAACTACAGGCAGTGCTGTTGTATGAGTTCTGAGAAGCACAGAAAAATACGACTGCAATAAGTATGTCTTCTCGGGTTGCATTATTTTATCTTTACATTTTTGGAAAGAAGAGGAAGAAGAGGCACCTTTCTGTTGTACCACGTGGATGTGCTTTGCAGTGCACAGTGTCACAGTGTCACAGTGTCACAGGTCAAATCGGGCCCAATGCTTGAAATACCATTTCCTACTGGAGCTTCAAGCTTCTCACCACACAAGCGTATCCAAAGAGAAGCAGATACTGGTAACTCAGCAAGATAGGAAGTGATCCAATTAGGAGGATTGGAATAACAGCACACCTGTCATGCTCAGGGCCACATTGGGTCAGCCAGCATCAACAGAGGCTTGGTGTCAGCACTAGAGGTCTCCAACTCCTTCGCTTCTTTCGCAGCCCATGCGAGAACCTGTCCCCCTGCCCAGGCAGCAGGTTACACAGACAGAAACCTCGTGGAGTTTGACAAAGGGACAGAAACAAAGCCGAGGGGGCTGGAGTCCTAATGCAGTGTCCTGGGAGCCATTTGTGCTTGTCCCCCAAACGAGCTTTGGGTAGCATTGTTGAGCCACCATCCCTCAAACTTCTCACTCATGGCCTAGATACAGACACAAACCTTTCAAAAGCCTGGCTGAGTTTGGTGCCTGGAAACTCAGGTCAGGAGCGTCAGATGTAGGTTATTCCCTCCATTAGTCAGCTCTCCTAAAGAGGAGAACTTGAGGGAACTGTACTCTTGGGGATTTGTCCATAAAAAGAGTGCAGAAGCTGAGCAAAAAATCTTTGTTCTTCCCTACTCGTGGTGCTTCCCTTTTTGAATACAAGAATGCATTTCCTTAGTTGAAAGACTAAGAAGTGCTCTGTAATAAATAAGTAAAGGAATGAAGCAAGAAGAAGCTGACTTAAAATGTCCTGGTAGATTTAATATCTATTTTCTTAAAAATAAGTAAATGACTAGATAAAGAGAATTCCCAGCTCCTTCAGGTAACAGGAGCAGGGCTTTCAAGGAGAACACAATCAAAATGATTACAGAATCCTGTGTAAGTGAAACATCACATAGCCGGTTTCCTACTTGCACATTTAATGGAGCTGTTATGTGCAGACGGCTGTAAGGAAGATATTACCTTTGAGTAAAAATAAAAAGGAAGCTTGCGAATCCTGAAATTAACTACAGGAGAAAAAAATGATGCAAAACATTAAGCAGACTACGAAGGAGTGTAGATGAAAGGAAAGAAGAGCCCAAATGCTCATAACACTAACAGCATTCAGTGGACCATTAGATGCTGAAAATCTCTGTCTAGTCATCAGCTTGTCTGCAGTTATGAGGCTGCCATCTTCTACGCTTTGGGGAGCTGCAAGAAGCCCGCTCTGCATTACTTTCCTCCATCAGCCTCTGAAACGAGCAAAATCGAGGGGCTGAGGCAGAGTGAGATGATGCCAACAGCTTTTAGTTAACGGGCTAATTAACAAGTGAGGTTCAGGTTAGGCCTTGGGGCTTACTGGTTGTTTTGTGCACTCTCCTACCGTGTTCCTCCCTGGGCTCGTCCCAGTGGTGACAGTGCTGCCAGTACATTTGGTGTGTGCCCTTTCTGCAACATGGCATTGTTTATTCAGTCAGCTTTAAGCCATCAAAATCTTTCATCCTGATGGATAAATCAACGACGCATGTAGCTGTTGTTCTCCGACCTGGTAGAACTATTTAGTAACCCAAATTAAGTGTTGCAATACGTACATTTATATTCAGCAGAGGGACTGGGCACTGTCCCACCTGAATGGCAAGCCGGTCTTGTTTTTCAGCCACCTCTCTAACTTGCTAAGAGCATACTGAATTCTAATCCCATCCCATGTGCTCACAGCCTCTTCCAACATTGTGTCAGCTGCAAACTGAAATTGCAGCCCTCTCGTCTTACCAGCCAGATCACACACAGAAATGCAAGAAGCGCGCATAGACCAACCCCATCAGAACCTCCCCCAAAGGCCTCCTTCTGTCAGTTTGCCACCAGCTTCAGTCCCAGGTATTTTCCTCTGTGCCACCCTTAAAAGAGTGCATATGAAACGGCTCCCAAAGCCAAAGCCATGTCAGCATGTTGCCCTAGATAGGGGGAAATCAGATTGGTCTGAACCTCTTGCATCTCAAAAAAAAACAACAAAAAAAATCTACACTGCGCGTTACTCATCCTGATGTTTTCTTCCAGGTGGTCGCAAACAGTTTGGTTATTTGTGGAAGTATTTTTCCAGGAACCGAAGCTAAGCTGACAGGTCTGTAACTGCCAACCTGCCATTTAGCACCACTTCTGTACCAACGAGCTCGAGCCCGCACCTCGTAGCACCGGGCTCTGCTCCAACAGACCACTTTAGCACGCACTTAATTGCAAGAGAGAGAGACGTCTGTGGCTGCAGGGGGGAGGAGTCGCACGGCTAACGTTACACGTGTGCTTGGATATTCCTCCAGCTCCTAACCATAGGCACACCAAGGAAGCCCCCCCAAACCAAGCCGAACAAAGACAATACACGTCTTCATACAGTGCTTATGACTTTATGAGTGCAAATACCAATAAATATCAAACATCGATGGCCACAGACAGCCAAAAAGCAGAAGTCATTCCTTGTTACCCTGCGATCACCTCCACCACGATGAATTCTGTTGCTGTTGTTGCTTTGTAACCTAGTTTTATTACGTCTTTCTCAAGTCTCCCTTATCTTAGTATCAGTAACATTGTGCCTGCAGCAAATTTTTAAGCCTCATGAGTCCTTTCATCTAGGGAGTTAATGAATTTATCAGATGTCACTTAGCCTAGCACAAACTGCTTCTGATACCTCTCGCAGCACCTTCCCGTGCATTTTAAGTGTATTTTATGGTTCTGCAAGACAGAGTACTGACAGCTGTGGAGAGCTGGACTAATCTCACTGGTAGGTCAGCTCTATCCAGCTCAGTTCCAACCAACAAAGCTATCAAACCCCGCACCTCACCTCCCAGCTGCAGGATTACCTGTGGCAATATCCTGGGAGGAAGCAGCGTGTGGAGCCACCCATCTCTGCTCTGTCACACGGCCACCAAATCACTTCTTGCTCTGCTCCATCTCCCTGCTTCTCCCTGCTCCTTGATTGTTTCTGGACATACTCGGCCAGGCGGGCCTTCTGCCACACCTCTCCTAGCTCATCCCTTCGCTCCCAC